TTGAAACAAAAAATATTAAAATAAATAATTAATTAAGCAAGTTAACCACAATACTGAAGCAAGAATTTTGGAAGCATGCATGTTGATGCACATATGGTGTCTGGCACTCTTCCAATGGTATGTTCACATAGATATAATCATGATGCTCTAAAAGATCACATGTTTAGGAAGTTATGGTTAGATAATTAAAATTCCATAACTAAAGCCATTCAATGCATTTTTACTCTCATTGTTACCCATGATTTCTTACAAGATTATTGCATTTGGAAAAAAAATAGTAATAATAATAATAATAAAGAGTGCCAGACACCAAGTAATGACCAGTGAAAAAAATCCAACTAGTATTTGTGTAAAGATATAGAACAAACTTGCTGTACCTGATAGATTGTCTCGAATTCTTGCACCAATTATCTGCTCAGAAACTTCATCTTTAAGAAGGCATACGACTTCTGCATGATTAAGTATTGCAGCACCAGCCAGTGCTGCTGTACAAGCTAATCCAACATTAAGGCGTGAGTCATTCATCTGACCATCATAGTACACAACGGTGCCCTTTAAGCTTCTATCTTTACCCTTCCTAGCAAGAGTGGGGAAAAGCTCAATAGATTCTTTCTCTGAATAATATCTGGAAAAATGTAGTAGTTGTGATCCTGCGACCAAATCGTACATTTTCAAGCCCACCCAGTAGTATATTACTTCAAACCAGTCAAAACAGGGTGTCATGCACGGCAAAGCATGGCAGAGATGTGGTGCATTATCAATAACCTGTTTGCGCTCCTCAAGTGCATGGAACACAAGTTTCAATTGACCATAGTCAAGGTTAAAAACTGCTTTCTCCAAGTACCGAACCCCTAACAAAATTAACAAAAAGCGATTAGCATAGCAAATAGACACAAAAGCCAACAACCTTCCTGGGAAATGGAGACAAGAAAGCGCCAACAACACTTGAATAGTTAAAGATAAACTTTTGATAGAGTTCATAACAAGCCAGAATCATTCAGATTCTGTTCGACCTACCTCACTAAATCAGCAGTTTAAAGATAAATGCATCTGTACAAATGAGACAATTACAAACAGTAAGTTCCTAAAAATTTTACTTTTATATTTAGTTTTTCACAGTTCAAATTCTAAATCTCTCCCACTCCCAATAACAATTCCAACACATATGAAGCAGCAGCAAAGTTCCAACATTCTTCATCCTTTTGAAATGAAAGCTACCAATGTACATAGGATAAAGCTAAAAATTAAATAAATAGTAAAACAATTACATTGATCCAGTCAAAGAATGAACATTTCAATCCTATATTGATACAATTTACACCTAACATTTGTCGCTCAAAATTCAGTGCAATACAAAGATGATCCGCAATCCAGCAACATTTGCTGAATAAAAAGACATGTATAAGTACCTCCGTGGATTAGCTTAGTGGACCGCGAAGATGTGCCTGATGCGAAATCATCTCGCTCAACGAGGCCAACACGGAGGCCTCTAGCGGCAGCGTCGAGAGCAACACCACAGCCGGTGGCGCCGCCCCCAATAACGAGGATGTCGAGGGGGTTAGCCGAGCTGGCACCGACAAGAGCAGATTCCTGTACTGCTCGCGACGGAACGATGGCAGTAGGGTCGTTGATCCTCCGCCTCAAGGCCTCCAAAGCAGGCCCGCCGCCGCGTTCGTTGGCCGATAAGGAGGAAAAGAGAATTACACCGCCGCCGGCTACGGCAGCCAATGCAGCGGTAGAAGCGGCGAGACGACGGAGACGTGTGGCGGTTGCGGACATTGCGGTGACGAAAGAGAAGAGAGAGTAGAGGGCCGAGGGAAGGATGATAAAAGGCGGGGCCGTTTTAGTTATGGAAGGTGCTGCATCGGGAAACGGTACGATGGCAGAGGATTGTCATCCTTGATACGTCTTTTTAGAAAATTCTGTGTGGATTTACTAGAATGCCACTGTGCTGTACCTCCGTTCTTCTGTGCTTATTATTTATTGGCAAAATTTTTGCCTCCCATAAAAATCAATTTTCTTTTGTTTCAAATAAAAATCTTTTACTTACCATCTTTGTAAAATGAGGAGTGGCATTCAATTTATTGCTCTTTTTATTGATTTTTAGTAAATTTAATATTTTTTATGTAATAAAATAAAAATATAGTAATATATTAATAAAATTTTATATTTATCTCTAATTAAATATCATGATTTCTTATATACAAATTATTTTATTTATTTTTAATAAATCTAATTTCTTTATTTAATAAAATAAAAATATAATAATTTATTAATAAAATTTTATATTTAACCCTAATTAAGTATTACTTAAATACAACTTCTTATATCAAGTAGCACAAGTTCATATTCCTCTAATCGGGGACAGCCAAAAATAAAATTCCTGTAATGTGGTCTAAATAAAAGTAATAATAACTTTAAAAATTTTTAATAAAAAAAACTAACTTTAAAAATTTTGTCAAAGAAGGGAGGCAGGGACTGTTTAGTAATTTGACGTATATAGAGAGGGATCTGAAGTTGCCCAAGATGGAGGATCGAGGATTGTGACTCGTGAGTCACCACTTCCATTAATGTAGGAGAGAAGTGTGGCGGTCTACTCGTCCTTCTTCTACGGGAACCCTGTGAACCGTGCAGTGTCCCCGACCCTAACTGAATGCCTACCTTTTTTTTAAGTTTATTTGTTTATTTATTTATTGAAATGCGAAACAAATTGTTGGGGATGTTGAAGTCAATCTTTTCTAAATAATTTTTAAAAGATAATTATATTAATTGATATATAAAAAAAAATTCATATGTTTATGTTCCATCTACTAACGATAGAGACAATCAAATTTTTTCCATATTCTCACTGTTGTCAATTACGACTAAAATTTGATTGGCCAGTTTATACTTACTTTCTTTTTGTTTCCGATTGTTTAATAATAAATAAAAAGAACAATGGTACTAAAATCAACTGGAAAGTTCTATGCCAACTACCAGGAATGCAGGATCAGGATTAAATAAATCTGCTATTGTGGAAACAAATAATAATTAAGTTATTTAAGTCTGTTTATCCTCTTGGACCAATGCAAAATCCTTTTTTCGTTTACGTACTGAGACCGAAGCCCAACATTGGGCCCAGACTACTACCTATTTTAACTTATCCTCATGGGCCATGGCGTAATTTTTTCGTTTTCGTAATGAGACCCAAGTCCAACATTGGGCTCAAATATCCGCAAATCTCAGCCCATCAAGTCATCAAAAAGCTCACAGTACCTGCTCGATGCTTCCTATCGGAAACTCAGGAGTCTTCCCCGATCATTTTCCCGTTCGTCCTCCGCCGACTCGATGGCTCAGATTCCGAATTTGGACAATTCTCCGATCAATATCAAGTCTATCAGGTTGAATCCAAATCCAAAATTCGTCTTTTTTTTTTTTTTTTTTTATCGATTTATCGTGTTCTGTTTCTGATATTTGTTCGGTGTTTTCAGGGAGCAGTCTCAGAGAGATCTCTTGAAAATCCTCAAAGATGTGAGTCCTCCGTTTTCAGTTTATACGCATTCTAGTTTCCATTACAGTTTCAGCTTGGTTTCTGCCATGAAAAGCGAGGAAAATTAGAATTTAGTAAAGCTTCGAGTGTTTTTTTATGCTACTAAGGGACTTGTATAAAGCTTGTTTACCTCATTTTTCTTCAATTTAACATTTATAGCTTTGTTTGGTAGCTGAGAAAGCTCAAGAAAAGCTAACGAAATTTTGTTCGATGAAGTTTCAAGTAGAATTGCATAAGCTCAGTTTAGGAAGAAGGTGGTTCATTTGCTGATTCTTTGCTTTATTTGTTCATGTTTGTAGATTCGAGGAAAGAAGTGTTTGGTTATTGAACCGAAGCTTGGTGGTTCCCTCTCCCTGATTATCCAGACGTCGTTTCTGAAGGTAATTCTTATTAATCTCTATGGTTTAATTTTTTTTTTTTTTTTTTTGGGGGAAACAAGAATATATAAATGAAAAGTTGTATGTGTGCTTCTATCCATGTGAATGAAATTCTAATAGTGGATGTTTTTTCTGACCACAAGCAGGAACATGGAGTGGAATTGCGGCATCTTTCACCTGAGCCTGTTCAAACTGAATGCACCAAAGTGGTTTATCTTGTTCATCCTCAGCGTGATTTAATGAAGATCATTTCTTCTCATGTACATAATGATGTTTCAAAAGGACTTCAAAGAGAGTACTATATTTATTTTGTTCCTCGCCGTCAAGTTCAATGCGAGAAGGTAAGCTTCTATTGCTAGTTAATCTGTTAGGCACAGCCTCAACTATTTGTATATTAGCATATGTTTGCTTGCTAGACCCCATAAAGAAACATTTTCCACAATGCAGATCCTTGAGGACGAAAAGGTTCATAACTTGATGACCATAGGGGAGTATCCATTATATGTTATTCCATTTGATGAGGACATACTGTCATTTGAACTGGATCTTGCTTATAAAGTAAGGCTAGATTTTCTACTTCGTTGCCATCTTCAGAGTTCTGAAGAATTTCAAAGGATCTTATTGTGAATGTGGTTTTCATTTGTAGGAATGCCAGGTTGATGGTGACACAGACTCTCTTTGGCATATTGCAAAGGCCATACACAAGCTCGAGGTTTGAATCATTTTAAGCATCCATTGGAGTAACTGTTCTATCTTATTTATTCTGAATTTATGACGTATGCATTGCAGTCTTCTTTTGGAATTATACCAAATGTGAGGGCAAAAGGCAAAGCATCAGTGCTTGTTGCTGATATTCTGAACCGAATGCAAACAGAGGAACCAGTGAACTCACTTGATGTAATTAGAACATTTTATTACCCTTTAGAGCTACTTAGCTTCAATTCTTGGTTTCTGTGATTTATGATTCATGGGCCTCTAATGGTTAATATTTTTGCTTTTCAGATGACAGTACCTGAGATTAATACGCTAATCCTTATAGATAGGGAGGTAAGTTGTCTTTTGCTGCATCTCTTTATTCTAACATGTGAAATTAATAGAAGATAACTATATTTTAAGTAGAATATTTGCAGCTTAAGTTTTTGGTGATAAACCTAAATGTTCCACAGAAGACTTTGAATCAAAGAGTCTTTATCCTTTCTTATGTGTTTTCTTTTGTTGTACAATTACCAATTACTAGTAGTAGAGGTAATTTAATTTGAAACAATCAATCTTATTCAAATCAAATTGTATACTGAATTTTTTGATATATGCATCCTCTTTTCCAAGGAAAGTGAATAAAAACAAGATCCACATGCCTAAGGAATTTTTTTTAAAAAAAAGAATTTTTTTAAGTCCTTGTCATAAAAGTAAACTGGTGAATTTGATGAAGTATTAGAAGAAGCTAGAGGTAATAACCCCAAAGAGAAGAAGCTAGAGGTAATAGCTCATTAATTGTGATTGTGTTTGCATATTAAAGTTGGTTTTTAGAGAGTATTTTCATGTAAGTTCATAATTATATATCATTTTTTCCCTGTTTCATCTTCTCTTTCATGTGAGTGACCTTGAAGCTTAACTATGATATAGGATATCTACCTATCACATGAACTAAAACTCTCAATGCTTGGATGCAGGTGGACATGGTTACCCCCATGTGTTCTCAGTTAACCTATGAAGGGCTGCTAGATGAGGTAAGCTGGTATAAAATGCTTGACTATACTTTATCCATGGAGCACTCTGTTAATTATTTAACATGTTGGAAGATCCTCAGTGAAATTTTGAAATGGTTGACTGGTTGATGTGAGCATCATGCAAATAATACGATATAGGATTATAAAGATGGCACAAGTTTGTGGTTGAGGTAGAGCCAGCTTGAGAGTGACCCCTAAAAAGAGGCCCCAAGTTCAAATCCATCTTCTCTAATTGTGAAAAAGAAAAATGAAGATGGATGGATGGATGGATGGATGGATGGATGGATGGATGGATGGATGGATGGATGGATGGATAGATAGATAGATAGAGAGAGAGAGAGAGAGAGAGAGAGAGATGATAAGAATTATAATAGACATTTTTTCTGTTTGGCTGAATATTGTTAAAAGCCATCTCTAATGGTTTAATTGCAGTTTCTGCATATCAATAATGGTGCTGTTGAACTTGACACATCTGTCATGGGTGTTCAACAAGAGGGGAAAAAGACAAAGGTTCCACTTAATTCAAGGTAAATTTAGTCTCTGGCTCTCTGCTTGATATATTTTTCAATGTAATAATAATTCTAATTTTAACTTTTTTTTGATAATTCCTCTTTTTAACTTTTTTTATCTACTATAGTTGCGTCAGTCTTCCACCTGAGATTTTTTATGAGAATGACTCTTGAAAATTAATAATCCTATTTAACACTTACATTTTCCATGGTAATCATAAGTTTGCTTTTTGGGGAAATACAAGCAGGAATATTTAGTATTTCTGCTCCTTAAGCAGGATTATTGTTTATCTTTTGTATTCTTCTTGAAGCATTATCAGAAAACAGCTTCATGTGGGTGGCCTCTATCTACTTTCTAGCACATCTACGCACACAGAGACCAAAAAAAAAAAAAAATTTTACCCATATATCATAGTGTTTATACCTCTATTTCTTTCCCTTTACAACTTTGTTTTCTTTAACTTGGCTTCTTAATTGAAATCTACCTATCCTTAATTTCAGTGACAAACTGTTCAAGGAGATCCGTGATCTCAACTTTGAAGTTGTTGTCCAGGTTGACCTGTTTCTACCTTCTTCTAGAGTTGCTCTATTTCTTGTTTCTGTTAAAGCTAAGACTGTTTCTTTGGAGTTCTTTTTCTCAGTTGCCATCTGCAGTATGATTGCAGGTCCTACGTCAGAAAGCAACATCCATGAAGCAGGATTATACTGAGATGACTACTACCGTAAGTAAATTAACCAGTGATTGGTAATCATCTTTTATCTTTGATCCAAATGACGGGGTTGTTTCTAACTGGACTTCCATGTATGGAGCTGATTTAGTTGCTTTTGTTAGTGAAGGGACATTGTAGTCAACTCTTATTTTATCATCTGAGAATTAGGTTGCACATATTTCAAGAGATTATTTATAGAAATTTATGCATGAATTCTTCTGCATCAAATTTTCATACTCCCAGTCATTACTAAGCATTTTCTCAGACAATTTCCTCTGGGAATGGTTGAATAATCTTTTAAGAAGTGGAATGTAATTCATGCAGAACCAGACTGTTTCTGAACTCAAGGACTTCGTTAAAAAGCTCAACTCATTGCCTGAAATGACTGTGAGTAACGTCAACCTTCTCCATTTTTACTTTCTTGGGAGTTATATAAACCGTGTTGAAGTGGCTCAATTCAGTTTTTGGCTGTAATTTGCTGCTGATTATTGCTTCAGAGACACATAAACCTTGCTCAACATTTGTCAACCTTCACATCGAAGCCATCTTTTCTTGCAAAACTTGACATGGAGCATACGATGGTTGAGGCCCAGAGTTATGACATGTAAGACTAATTAATATACTTCACCTCCCATCCCTGAGAAGTTGAATGTTATGTTGTTTGGTAGAATTTTTTGTTAGTTCTTGCTCATAGAATTCTTTTTGGATTAAAGAAACTTTTGCATTTTCTCTGCTAAACAGATGCTTTGAATATATTGAAGAAATGATCCATAAGCAGGAGCCTCTTGTCAATGTCCTCCGCCTTCTCATCCTGTTTTCTGTTACAAATTCAGGGTTACCCAAAAAGCATTTTGACTATTTGAGGCAAGCATGGCTTACATGCAAATGTCATTTTTTTAACCTGGGTTCTTTTTTGAATAGCTATATTGACATTGTTGTTTGATGTCTTTTATGCATTGTCTAGGAGGGAACTACTCCATAGCTATGGATTTGAGCATATGGCTACTCTAAATAATTTAGAAAAAGCTGGATTGTTCAAAAAGCAGGAGGCAAAAAGCAATTGGCAGATGATCAAGAATACTCTGCAACTTGTTGTGGAGGATACTAACACAGCGAAGTATTCTTTTCTTGATTTGATCTGGATCATAAATTTTAATCTCAAGCATTGTGCCATCAACTTTTAGCCTCCTCATCTTCTTTAGTTTCTTTTTTAAAAAGTGTTCTTATGCAACAGTCCCAATGATATTGCCTATGTGTTTTCTGGATATGCACCTCTCAGTGTTCGCATAATACATCATGCTGTTCGATCTGGATGGTAAGATTAACTCAACTTGTAAGTTCATACTAATTTCAGTGGTGATGTGGAAACATTTATTTGAGCATTTCAGTCAAACTGTAATTCTTGCTTAAGGAGCAGTTACTTGGTAGGTATGATCCTTTTGTTAATAAATGAGGTTTCTTAATGTTTGAAATTAAAGTATCTTTTTGGTAATTTTACCTTGTATTTATAATAGAATTAATGCTAGGATTTCCTGGCCAACTCTGCCCAGTCATCTGATTGGGCACACCCTTCTAGTGATTTATGTCTCAACATAAAAGACTATTTTATTTGTTACTTTGCTTTACCATCTTGAAGATTTAAGTAAACAATAAATCATGTTTGAATTTTGAAGGGAGATGAAAACTTCAGTGGTGAGCCAATTTCTTAAATTAAATATGATAATGTAACTTTGCAGGCGTCCTATGGAAGCAGTTTGGAAGCTGTTGCCAGGGCCGCAAATGGAAACAAAGAGGGTCAGTCTACCCATGTTTCATTAGTTCTATTCTTATTCTCTTTTTGTTGATCATCTACAAATTCTGCACTAAAAATTCAACTTTATCATACGCACATACACATACATGCTCACGTATAAAGATAGAGTGATGGTTTCTTTTGAGTTCTTGCAATATTATTTACCATGTCTTGTGCATTTTATAGGGCAGTGTTCCAAGCAATCAATCATTTGAGTCATTGCAAGGTGCCACTATTGACAAGTGAGTAATAGTTTCTTGTTACATTCTGCTTCATATTTTTGGGTGCTGAACATGCCGTGATTCTTTTCATGTGATTTATGTTTTTGTCCTTCGTTGCTTTGTTTTTGCTATTAGATTCCTACCTCGTATAACTGTTTAAAATTAATACCCAGTTTTAACTCAAGAGTAAAGCAATATATGATGGTAGCACAAGAGACGTGGTAGATTAAAGTGCTTAAATTTTTAGTGGAGGCTATTTACTTTGTGATTAAAGCAAGTTCAACCACCTCTCTTATTCCAAATTCTGCAGTAAACTACCTTCCAACTTTTGAAAATTTTAATCTTCGTTAATACTTCCTTTATTGTGAAACAATAAATTATTGCAGAATAGCTGATGGGAGGCGTTCCCTGGTACTTGTTGTCTTCATTGGAGGGGTGACATTTGCAGAAATTTCTGCTCTTAGATTTCTTAGTGCTCAGGTATTTAATCAGCCATCTTACTTAAAAACAGAGTGGTGGGTTAGTGATGTTTAACTGTCATTCATGCAATTCTCTAAGACTTTTTAATAGCCGGAGCGTTAACTGCAATAATAATATCTTTCATCGTAAGATTGTTCCCCTGTTAAATCTGGGTCTCCATTTCGCAGGAAGGAATGGCCTATGATGTGATTATTGCAACGACAAAAATTGTCAATGGTCATACCCTGGCTGAGACATTCTTGGACACGTTTGGCTGACTTCGGTATCATTTGTGACCATTACATCCCTCCTTTTGTCAAAACCTAATTTTCATTTCACTTCCATCTTTGCTCGTGGCTTCCACCAGTCAATGCTCGGAACGACGAACCAAAAGAATAGCTTTAGATGAATCAATGTTTTTTTGTTTTTCTTTCCTTTTTTGGGCTTTTTTCTTTTCTTTTTTTTTTTTGGTGTGTAACGAACTATTATTCTATTTGGCATTTTGCATTTCGTTCTTGAGTGTCTAAAAACAAATGCCTGGAACAGAGATGAATTTAGCTGAGAGGTCGAGTGATTAAATGTTGAACTATCAAATTATTGAGCAAGAAGTAAATATTATCGAAAAAAATTTCTTAATAACCATCAATTTGATTCTGCCAAAATGCCAAGACCAATACGGCTTATCATCAAATTAATATTTCCACACTTGTTCGTAAATATCTACAGTAAAACATGCGTCATTTACATCTGCAATTTATCATTATATTATCCTCCAACGTACATCCAGTTCATTGATCATATGCAAGTGTCCCTTCGAAGAGCTGATATATATAATAGGGATTAGTATTAATCAGCTGGGTTTATAACAAAATTAAATTAAAAAATATTCAAAAATTATGTTATTTTAATAAAGTATTATAAAAAATATTAAAACAATATCATTTTTATTTTAAAAAATAAGTTATTTTAATTTTTTTTAATTGCTGTTTTAAAAAGTAAGTTATTTTAGTTTTTTAATAAAAATTTATTAAATTGAAATAATTTTAAAGTACATTTAAATGCATTTAGAATTGTTGTAAGGTGTTGTAACAATAACTATAACTATAATTATACTGAAATATATTATGCTATAACTATAATTGAAAGTTGTTTTGGTATTCGGTTATTTTTTTTTTAAGTATTGTAGATAAAACATGATAAATCTTATTAATTATTAATTAAAATTTAAAAAATACTGTGTAATGTATAATTACTGAAATAGATAACATTTATTATTTCTTAATAATTTAGATTTTTTAGGTTTTTTATAATGGATTTTTTTGGGTTTCATAGGAAAACAACTTGTAAGAAAAGAATGAGTTTTTAATTTTTTATAAAATATTTTTAAATAAACATGAGATTAAGTTTAAATTAAATATTATAAATTATAATATAATTGAATTAAATGAAATTTGATTTTAATAAATAATTTTTAATTATTTTAAACATAAAGTATTGTTCGTAAAAATCATTAAAAAAAGCTTCAAAATGAAATTTCAAGCTTTACATATAAAATACTATAAATTTGTTATAACTTTCTACATCTTTTAAAAAAATAACTTAAAAAAAATTACCAAACATGTATTTATATAAAGATGCCACATGATTATAAGAAAAAATTCCAAACTCCAATTCCAAACACACCATTATATTTTTTTTTGTCTCTGATTCGTTGTAACTTTCTGTCTTTTAAAAAAAAGTAATTTAACAAAAATTACCACATATATTTATTTAAAAATATTATATGATTACAAAAATAAACTCTCAACCGTAATCCCAAATACATCATTAAAAAATTTTTTGCTTGATTTTTTACATATCCAGCTTATAAACATTTTCCTGTATATAATGCATATGACAAATTCACAAGGAACTCAAAGAGACAGGAGTTTCCATCACATCAGCTCGTTGAAGAAGTTCCAATATATTTCCAGCTTTTCGCTTGGCCCTGTCGGTTCCATTTTCTGAAAGCTCCTTCAGTGCCTCCTCTGCACCATGATCTCGTGCAACTTTCACCTGTTGCAAATCTCCAGTACAAAGCGGCCACAATATGGCTGCTGCATTCTCACGGTTGCGTGGGGAACCAGTCCTTATGAGCTCCAACAGGACAGGGATCGGTTCAACCTGTCCGATTGCTATCTTTCCTTCTTGATGGCTTGCAAGAATGGCCAGAATTGCCAATGCTTCATCTACCATACCACCTCCAGCATCCTTAAGCAGTCCCATCAGTGGTGGCACGATACCAGCTCTCACAGCTCTCGCTTTGTTTCCCTGATAGATTGAAAGATTAAAAATAGCTGTGGCAGCATCCTTCTTTCCTCTTGGAGTCCCTTCACAAAGCAAATTTATTAGAGCAGGGATAGCCCCAGCTGCTCCTATGGCTACCTTGTTTTCATCTATGACAGATAAACTGAAAAGCGTTGCAGCTGCATTCTCTCTAGCCTCCATGCTTCCACTTTTCAAGACATCTACAATATCAGGAATAGCTCCTGCATTTACGATAGTTCCCTTGTTATTTTCATTGATGGAAAGGTTAAGAAGAGCTGTTACAGCATGCTCTTGTGTCCGAGGATCTGGTGAAGATAACAACTCTACAAGAAGTGGAATTGCTCCTGCCTCAGCGATGCACACTCTATTATCTGCATTCCTTTTTGCCAATAACCGGAGCTCACCAGCTGCTGCTCTTTGTTGTTCTGAATTTCCATTTGCCAGTTTTTCCAACAAAGCAACAATAGCAGGACGATCACAATCTGAAATGCAATTTCCAGGTTTTTTACCTCTACAAGTTCCTTGCATTTTTGGGAGCTCAACACCATTGCTCTCACACCAGAAAGCTATGAGACTCTTCAAAACATAGTTTGGAGTTAGGGCAGTATGTAGAAGTGTTTGTTGTGTTTTGGGACAGGTCCTGTGCCCTGCATCCAACCATTTCTGAATGCAGGATCTTTCATATGTCTGCAAAAATCAAGAAAAATAATTAAAAATAATGGGTATGATCAAAGATATTGTTGTAAACTAAGACACATGTTGCCTTTCAAACCTGCCCAGTGGAGACTATCACAGGATCTTTCATCAATTCAAGAGATATTGGGCACCGGAAATCATCTGGGATAACAGGGGATCGATGTTTGATGACACCCTTTTCACCCTCTGACGTCTCACCTTCAGGATTATCAGTCAATACACAGTCTTTCAACTTCTTAAGCAGTGAGGACATCTTCTCACAACAGTCCCCTGAATCACCACTACTGGAGATAACCAGTTCATGAAGAGCAAATGACTCTTTCTTCATATCATTAATTGTTCTGAGCTGCAGCTTCTCCGTTAGTCTTCTTAGTATCACAGGGTCAGGATCCTTTTCTTCCAGTGCTGCAGCTAAATCAAGTTCTAATAGTAAATCAGGCGACTCTGGTTTTCCTTTGGCTCTACTGAATTGGGCATGCACAAGTTCGATCTGATCAAAAAATTAGAAGAGGTTCTCAACATTAAGACTTTATGAGCTTAAACTTTAAACTTTCAACAAATCTGTCATTTTTTAAATATACTCTTAAGATAAACCAGGAAAAGTACCTGTTCTCTAACTTCCTCAGATATATCAAGTTCAGTAAAGGGAATCTCAGTCAATGCTGCTTCAATTTGTTCTGTGATTTGGTGAAACTTTCTTGTTGTCTCATCTCTTTGAAAAGCCTGTATAATAAGCACGGTTAACACCAACATCATTTAACTTAAATCAATTGACTTGATTGCAAAATCATAAAAAGAACTTGAAAAGCAAACAGCCAATGAAATTATGAAACAGCATACAACATGATTCAATTGTATCCATATAATAAAAGGAATTTGTGAAAGATAAAAGGCTCAAATACACTTTAAATAGGAGATTGCTTAAGGATAAAAACAACATAAAAACAACTAGGCTGAATTCTGAGGAATAATTTTCTCTTTTCTTGTAACTGTGAAATAGAGAATATAATACCTGGTACAGCTTGCTCCCTTCATTGCAAGACTTCAAAAGCTCCTTGGCTGAATCCAAGGCGACCATTAGCAACTCAAATCCACGAATTTCATCTGGGCATGGCTCTTTATCAATATCTCCCAATTCCTCAAACAAGGGACTCAACAGCTTGATTCTACGCGCCAAATTACCATACATCCTCTTGAAGATATTCTTGCACTCGGGTAACGCAGAAATCTCCTTCACCAACTCGGAAAGTCGACTCACTAAATTCCCCTTCGGATCGTCGGTCAACCCCATTTTCCTCCCCAACAAAAACTGGCTTCCACGATTAGGTTCCACAAAAGGTCGAAAATTGAAGTTAAAGTTCCGATCTTTCAGGGAAGAACAAAATACCCAGATGAGGAAATTCAATGAAAACTAAATAGAGATAGGTATTTGGGGAATCAACGAGAAGAACAAGGAAACCCCAGGGCAGAAGCAGAGTAATTGGTTTCTGTTAGAGCAATTGACCTAAGCTTAGAAATAGAGAGATTTTAGCTGAAAATTCTATTATAGTTGAAACCTAAACTAAATAACCGCGGATATGAACGAGTAAGCCAAGATTTGATTACCAATTCCACTGTTCACTTCTGGCCTTCTGGGGGAGGAGAAATATGAAACCATTTCTGATTGACCAAACCATTGTTTCATTATGACGAAACTGCCCTTACATATGGAATTTTTTTTTAATTTCCATTTTTACAAATTCTTAAAAAATATATACGTTCAATACTTCATCAAAATGATTTTGGATTTGACTCTGCAAATAACGTGTTTTCTTTAATCAATTTTCACTTTTGTGTTCTGTATTAGGTGTTTACATTTGTACTCGTTGTATTATAATAGTACTTTCCTTTACATCTAAAAAATATAAATAATTCATCAAAATAGTAAAAGATTTTAGG